TCAGGCTATTCAGGCATACGTCATCCCGCAGTCGGTTCATTCCAAGGTTCTGGGTCAGGCGGCTCATGGCTTGAGGTAGCGTTTTCTTGAGCAAGGGGTTCCCGAGGCACCTGCGCGAAGCCGAGAAGGGCGGCCTTCTAAAAAGGCGGGGGGGCTTCTTGGAAGCCCTCCTAGCTGATAAGAAGCCTTCTTAGAAGCCTCTTGGCCTTTCTAAGAAGGCCCACCACCTTCCAAGAGGCCCTCCGCCTTCTTGGAAGGCCTCCCCCCTGGCGCTACCCCCGTGTGCGCACCACCAAACTGCGGTACCCAACGTCGCTCCTAGCTTCAATTGCTTCGAGGGGGAACGTTAGGGGGGGACCGACTCAGGGGAGAAGCATCGAGCTGGAATCGGCGATATGTCGCCTATAGATCAGCAGTAGGCTTCCAATAGCAAATCCGCACGGTCCTGGGCGGGCTATCGGGCCCCAGGCGATGGGGGGTCGATGCGTCTCCCCCGTTAGCCTATCCCCTGTAACGTTGCCCCTGAGCTACGTTCAATTCCATCATGTTGGGGGTTCTGGTGGCATAGCCCGCCTTCCACGCCAGGCGCAGGCGCAGAGGAGTAGGCGTCCCAGTGCTGTCCTCGAGGCCAGATCCGAGGCCGGCGGCGGGGAGAGCGCAGAGGATGGGGGGGAGGCTGTGGCGGGGACAGTTCAGTGTGGAGTGGAAGCGCGTGGGAATGAAGAGGGCGCTCCTGCTTCCACTGCCCCCACCATGGTCCCCTCCATCCTCCCCTTCCTCCCCTCCTCCTCCTCCTCCTCCTCCTCCTCTTCTTCTTCCTCCTCCTCCTCCTCCTCCTCCTCCTCCTCCTCCTCCTCCGCATCCTCAGCCTCATCCTCCCCTCCCCCTCTATTCCTTCCACTTTTCGTTTCCCTCCTCCTTCTCCTGCTCCTCCTTCTCCTCCAGATCTCTCCCCTCCTCCTCCTCCTCCTCCTCCTCCTCCTCCTCCTCCTCCTCCTCCTCCACACATACACAATATGATTACTACTCTCCTCTCTCTCCTGGTGACGTCCTGGAAATGTTCGGGCCTCCTCCGCGTACTTGTTTTTGCGAACTGCTGCTCTCGCTGAAGCGCTGGCTTCATTTTCGGGCTACCGCTCGCTTCGAATCGTGCTCCGGCTGCAGCGCTAGCTTCATTACCGCGCTTCGGCTCGTTCCGAATCGTGCTCCCGCTGCAACGCTGGCGTAATTATTCCCAGCGCCATGCTACGGCATGGTTTACGGTCCTTCCAAATCGGCTCCAACATCTAGGAAAGACCCCCCCCCCAGAAAAACCATCGGAAGTGATTCCACATTCTGTGCCGATTCGTTGATTTTTGGGGCCGCAGAAGACCCCCCAACTTTGGGGCGTCGCCACGCCGTGCTATGTCAGGCTGCGCGTCCTCCGAATCGTGCTCCCGCTGCAACGCTGGCCACATTTCCGCGCTTCCGCTCGTTCCGAATCGTGCTCCCGCTGCAGCGCTGGCGTCACTATTTCCAGCGCCATGACACGGCATGGTCTTCGGTCCTTCCACATCGGCCCCAAACATGTAGAACATGCTCCCCGAAACAACCATCGGAAGGGATTGCACATTCGGTGTCGACGCGTTGATTTTTGGGCCGCAGAAGCCCTCCCACTTTGGGGCGTCGCCACGCCATGCTATGTCAAACTACGCGTTGATCTTCGACACCATGCTATGCCATGTAATGCTATGCCCTGCTACGACATCCGACTGTGCGAATAGAGAGGAGATCTACGCCATGGCAAGGAATGGGAGGGAGGAATAGGACGTCAGATATGACGTGAGCGCACCTAGCTTGTCCTCCTCCCCCTCCTCCTCCTCCTCCTCCTCCTCCTCCTCCTCCTGCTCCTCCTCCTTGAGCGGGCCCTCAGTCAAGCTGCAGGCCGTGCTGGCTCCCCTGCGGCAGTGCCATCTCGACCAGAGGCCCGACATTTGCGAGCGAGGAGAAGTGAACCTTGACCATCTGGAGCTCCTGGCGCATGGGTTCGACTCCGTGGACATCGACCAACTTGTGGTGGGGCCTCTGCCAGGTGGCCGTGGGCGTTGAGACGATGACGGCCTGTGAGATCGCACGCGGCCTGAGGCCATCCCGCAAGGCCTATGCGGAATGGGTGCAACGTGCATGTCGCACCTCCCCTGGCAACCTGCACTGGCACGTCCATGAGCCACGTGAGCCACGGCCCGACGGCGAAGAGCTTCCAGGTGAGCTCGGTGGCAGACCCTGTGACCATCATGGGTATCAAGGCGACTCAATGAGACGCGATCTGGCGGGATCCAGTGGACACGCCTGCCGACGTGATCATGTCATGCGTGCCCAGGCGGCGGAGGAGGACATCTCTCCCCTGAAGTTGGCGACGCTGCAGGACGCCACTCGAATCTCGGATGAGAAGAAGGCAGTGGATGTCGACGGGCTCGGCGCTGGCGACTTGGCTCGCCTTCCCCCCGAGGAGGTGGAGGCGCTGCGGCAGCTCCTTGCCGACTGCGAGAGAGCCCAGGCGTGGCCGTAGCAATCGACGGCGGCGCTCTCCGCCCTGGCGCCCAAGCCGTCTGGCGAAAAAGATCGCGTCCTCGGCATGGTACCGCTACCTGGACAGCTGTGGTTCATGGCACGCCAGACCTTCACGAATACCCGGTGCCCCGAGCGAGCCGCATTTTTGGACACGGCCATTCGAGGGTCGTCAGCATTGTGCGCTGCCTTGTTGGAATGACCCTCGACGAGGCGGGCCAGGAGCAACACTTGAGCTTCCTGGTCTTCCTCCTGGATATCGAGACGCTCTACGACAGCATGTCGTTGGTGGGCCTGCTGCGCTTGGGCCTGAAGTTTGATCTCAGTCCGACTGTCATGGCCTTGAGATGCAGGTCTACGTGCACCCTCGGTATCTCCGAGAGCGGAGCTGGCTCAGCGAGGCGATCTACCCTACCCGCAGCAGTGTGGCGGGGTCCTCGCACGGCGTCCCGTTTTCGAAGCTGTCGCTGTACCCGATCCTGGAAGGGTGCACGTGGTAGGCCCGTCGGCGGGGCTCTGGACCCTCATCCTTTCGGCAGATGCGAAGGCAAGGCAGAGACCAATCTGGCCACCATGGAATCGTGGAAACTGGCAGCGGGGCTGCGCGACCAGAGGCTGGTGGTCTCGCCCCAATCCGTTATCCCAGGCTTCTCGATGGACTCGTTCAGGAATTCGATGAAGCGGCTCGGGGCGCAGAAAGTCCTGGTGGGAGTCGAGGCCCAGGCGGTCGACCTCGGGGTGGACACGGCCGCTGCTTGGTGCCGTGTATGTACCAAGGAGCTTGCTCGTCGTTTCAAGGCGCACAGGCGAGCAATGCGCATCAAGAGGCTGCGGCAGGCGGCGGCGCTCGGTCGCGAGGCGCGATGCCTGTGGTTGACGGACGCCCCCAATATGGACACCAAGCCCACGGTACCTCGCCGTCAGCCATTCTGGCCCTGAGATGACAAGCGAGTGCTGCGGTGGCCGGGGACCATACCATGGAGGACACTGCCTCACCAGCACGCTGGCGGCGTCCATCGGCCTGAAGGACCCTGCGATTGAGTTTGGGCGGCAGCTGGTGCTGGAGTGGCCGAGTCTCTGGCATGCGCAGCCATTGCCAGGGACACGTTTTGGGAGAGAGATCGGACACCTTGGAGAACTATATAGACCTGGTGAACTGAGAGAGAGAGGTGGACTCAGACTCACAATGCTTAGCTTCTTCTTTTCCGCACGGGGGAGGCGGGGTTTGGAACGGCAATTGGCGATATGGCCGCGGATACCTGGGCTGCGGGGGGGACGGCAGAGCTGGCGTGGGAGAGGAGGGTGATGTGGACCTTCCTCGGACTGATGCCATCGACTCGGGCGCCGCCATGGTCAAACGCCACGAACCTTGAGAGAATCTGTTGCCGCCGAGAAATCTACGAAGGCGGAGCGGGCTGAGGTGCCCACTGAAGCGGTACCGAGGTCCAGGCTCGCTCGCGCCGTAGCCTGTTCTCCCCGCCGCCTCCACCAGCGAGGCACGTTGCGGACATGTGAGGTGTGCATGCAGCTTGCCCCGTTCTCGAGCACTCTGGAGCTGCGCGTGAGCCCCCGTAGCCCTGCTCCTCCTGCTCCGTTCGAACCTCTCGTTGCCCGACCTTCTCCAAGGTTGGGCTTCATTTTTTGGCGAGTAATGACCCCTCACCCCTCACCAGTCCCACACGCTCGGACGTGTCGATGCGTTCTTCCTGAGTTTCTGCCACACATTCAATCAACTTGCGACGACTGACGCTCGCCATCTTATTCCCGAATGTCGCTCGCCGAGCCAGAACGGCGTGGAACATCTCGCTCGGCCGGCCAAGGGCCTGTGCCCTCGGCGTGAGGGCCCCCATCGGCGGTCAAGCTGGCGGTGCGCGCAAGTGACGAGACTCAGGCCGCCCGACAGTCGAGGCTGCCTCGCAATGGCGACGCTGTCTCATCTAGTGAGCCTGGCGTTGCCGCTCGCTCTGCTGCGGATGCGCTTCAGGAGTCGTGACACCTCGCTCCCCAAACTCGTCCAAGTTGAACCAGGGTAAGGTCATTGTGGTTAGCGTGGTGTCCATTGACGCGCGCAAATCTGTCAGGGGAGCGGGGCTTAAACGTTCCCCTCCCTGGTGAACCCAATTATGTCAATCTCCGCCCTGGTCGCGTGACCGATGCGAATGCTAGCCACATTTATTTCCGCCTGGGCCCTGCACAGCTTTCATCTTCAAGCTGAGGGGCCGCAATGGCCAACAACACCGTTGCTCTGCTTGGATCCAGTTTGAATCCTCTGCCTCCGCCTCCTCTTCCTCCTCCTCCTCCTCCTCCTCCTTTTCCTTTTTTCCCATCACGACCCTGGAGGCTCCCTGACGGGACTGCACCCCCCCCCACAATTAGAAACCTCCTGGGCAACCAAACACGTGTATTCCACAAGCGAGGCCGTCGCCGGGCCTTCGCAAGGACGTCGTATTTGGTTAACGACATGTAGCACTGCCTGTCGGAGTAGCGGGCCGACTCCTCCTGCACAGGGAACACATTCCTCGCGCAATCTTCGTGCATGCCATGCAGTGCGATGCTACTCCGCGCTATGATGTTGCAGTGCTATGGTAGGCCATCCTAGTGCCAATGCTGATGGTAGGCGATGGGCAGTTATGCTATACGATGCTTGCCTTCGCAAGGTCATGCTGTATTGTGCTATTCGGTGGTCAGCTACACCATGCTGCGTCGTACCATGTTAGGCAACACTCTCCGATATCCTACTACGCACTGCGATGCTGTTCAGAGTGCCACTATGCTGCTATGCCATGATCGGCCAGGCGGCAGTATGACATGTATTGCTATGCGGTGCTTTGCATTGCATGGCACCTGGTTGCGTTGTACGTCATTTTGTCGCATTGCAAGCGTTTGCCTGCAACACGAAGAATACAACATGTTGGGCCGTGCGAGCTTGTGTGTGTGTGTGTGCGTGTGCGTGTGTATGTGTGCGTGTATGTACGTGTATGCGTTGCGCTTAGGCTTAGGCTAATGCCGTTAGGCCTTACGACTGGTAGAGCTTGTGTAGTGTTTATGTCTCATGGCGTCCTGCTCGAGGACGTCGTTTCGCATCCCGAATTCAAGCAACGTCCAAAGATAATTGTTAACGCTGGTCGGTCGAGTGACCGACCCAGTGGCCCGCTGACGCAACATGTCTCTGTGCGTGCGATTTGAAGCGCTGGCCTCGCTGCCACGCTTGTCGCGATCTGTCCTCGCCCCCCGGTGCGCCTCGGGCGCCCAGACTTGTGCTAGCTCGTCTGTCTCCTTCGCCTCTTCGTCCTCCCTGCCCTCCCACGCGCAGCACGGAATGCCGCTGGCGCTTTCCTGTTGCTGTCTGGTCGCTCGCTAGGGTCATCGTTGTGTACGCAGGCCCAACCTAGGATACCCAACTTCGCGATGATCTTCGAGCCATTGCGCCCTCGCGCCCCCCCCCTCCCGGAGAACGACCGCTCTCCAGTCCAGACCGCGACGCGCGACGCGCGACGATCTTCGCGCCCCCGCGGGCGCCCCATCAAATCCGTCTGACCTCGGCTGGGCCGGCCGCGCTTTCGGCCGGTGTCCTGGCCAGCTCGACGCCGCCCCGCCTGGCCGGCTCGCGGTGGGCTGGTCACACGGCGGGGTCATCCTTGTGCCCCACACCTCTCGCCTTGTCCCGCGCCGGGGCTCGTTCTGCCCCCGCTGGCTCGCCTGCGCGGCCTCGGCTTCCCCCGCTCGGCTCCGTCTCGCTCCTCCCCTCCCCCCGCCGCGCGGTCACAGGTGCTGCACGCGGGGCCGCCCTGCTGCTTGCCTTTGTCTGGTTGCACGGCGGGTGCTTCCCTCTGTGCCAGGGCATTCCGATGACCTGGTCGGGGGGCCTTCTGGCTTTGTGCCGTTTCGGCGGGAGGCCCCTCTCGGGCGGCTCTCCCCCATCGACCTCTCACTCGCACCTGCTTGCCCACAGCGCTTCCTGGCTGCAGGCCTCGCCGCCAAGCTGCCCTCCTCCCTCGGGCTTCTCGCCTCCGGGGCAGCTGGCTTTTCCACTTCGTTTGGTCATCTTCGCGCCGCCACAGCGTCGGCGGCTTCGCCCCCCGCCGACTCACCGGACTTCCATCTTCGCGAACGGCTGGCCTGGCCGCTTATTTTCCGCGCTTGTGCGCCCCTCCCCTCGGCTCCGGGGGGCGGCCGCCGTCTCCGCCCGTTTCCGCCGGGCACGGCTGGTGTCGCTGGGCTTCCTGCAAGTGTCTTTCAGACCCTCCCCGGATAAATCCATGGCTATGTAAGGGGGGGGGGGGGGTCCCGACCCGCTTCCCCCCTGTTCGGTTCGGGCTTCCCCCCCCCTGTTCTTCTGGTTTCCCGCTGTTTTTTCGGGCCGTTCCCCCCCCTGTTCCCCTCCTCTCCCCCCTCTTGTTCCCCTCCTTTTTTCCCCCCCCATCTGTCCTCCCCTGTTCCCCCCTCTTCCCCCCCGTGTTCCTCCACCTCCTTCCCCCTCGATTCCCCTGCCAGCTCCCTGCCGACCCCCCCGCGATCCCTTTCCCCTGGGCCCCTGCAGTCCCTTCTTGCCCCCCGCAGGTGTCCCCTCGTGGCCAGCGCAAGGGGGGCCGCCTGGCAGAAGGTCGACAGGGGGAAGGAGAGCGAGGGGGGGCGGAGGGGGGAGAAGGAGGAATAATAATAAGAAGAACAGCTCCGAAGAAGACAGGTGGCATCACCACAACAAGTGAAACATTATCCCAGTGCGACCCTAATTCGGAGTTGGAACCTCTAGGAAAACAACATTAGTAGGAGCGGTCAACGCCGTCCCCCTCCTTCTCCTCATCGTCGTAGTTGTAGCAGTAGCGGTAGTAGTAGTAGTAGTAGTAGTAGTAGTAGTAGTAGTAGTAGTAGTAGTAGTAGTAGTAGTAGTAGTAGTAGTAGTAGTAGTAGTAGTAGTAGTAGTAGTAGTAGTAGTAGTAGTAGTAGTAGTAGTAGTAGTAGTAGTAGTAGTAGTAGTAGTAGTAGTAGTAGTAGTAGTAGTAGTAGTAGTAGTAGTAGTAGTAGTAGTAGTAGTAGTAGTAGTAGTAGTAGTAGTAGTAGTAGTCGTAGTAGTAGTAGTAGTAGTAGTAGTAGTAGTAGTAGTAGTAGTAGTAGTAGTAGTAGTAGTAGTAGTAGTAGTAGTAGTAGTAGTAGTAGTAGTAGTAGTAGTAGTAGTAGTAGTAGTAGTAGTAGTAGTAGTTAGTAGTAGTTAGTAGTAGTAGTAGTAGTAGTAGTAGTAGTAGTAGTAGTAGTAGTAGTAGTAGTAGTAGTAGTAGTAGTAGTAGTAGTAGTAGTAGTAGTAGTAGTAGTAGTAGTAGTAGTAGTAGTAGTAGTAGTAGTAGTAGTAGTAGTAGTAGTAGTAGTAGTAGTGGTAGTAGTCGTAAGTAGTAGCAGTAGTAGTAGTAGTAGTAGCAGTAGT